TTTATTTTTAGTTGACATGTAATAATTATACATATTCAGGGGATACAGAGTGATATTTCAATACATGTATATAATTTATAATGATCAATTCAGGGTAATTAGCATGTCCACTTCAAACATTTATCATTTCTTTGAGTTCTGAACATTCAAAATTCTCTCTTCCAGCTTTTTGAAAATATACAATAAATTATAGTTAACAGGGCTGCACAACACCAGAACTCATTCCTATCTAGCTGTAGTTTTGTTTCCATTAACCAACTTCTCTCCCCCTCTCTCCTCCCACATACACTTCCCAGCTTCTGATACCCACAATTCTACTCTCTGTATAAAGTCACATTCTGAGTAAACATTGAATAGATCAACCATTAATTGACCATTAAATAAAATTCATCTCGTCAGGAAGTAGTAACTACTTTAGAACTAAAAATAAAAAATTTATCTTGGCCAAGGAAGGGAAGCTCAGAATACTTGGAGACTACTCCCTAAAGATATAGACCCATGAACACTTTCTTCAAAAAGGTTGGCAAAATGCAGGTGTCATCAGAAAAAGGCATTAGAAATGAAACTACACTGTCTAGAACCATGGCTAGAACTGTAGTTTTACCTCTCCAGAGAAGACAACTGCCAATTCTTTCCTGTGTGTCCTTTAGCAGTCTGATGAATTTATCTCTGTGAAAGGAGGAAAGGCCAATAGAGTTTGGCCCAAGCATGCAGGGTAGGTTGCTACTGCCTCTGCTCCTTTTCTCTTAAAGGTACTGATGGGAGCCAGCTGCTTGTAGTGGAAGGGAAATCGATAGATTGTACCAGGGAAATCGATAGATTCTACCATCAGCTTCCTGAGTGACTTTGGCTATGTCCCAGTGTCTCCAAGTCTATACATTGAGAGGAGTTGGATTGGGTTAAATCTTAGGTCCCTAAGGCACATTGCTAGCATCCTAGAGTCCTACACATAGTTTTGCATAGAGAAAATAACAGATGAATATTAACAAGTATTATGTGTAGAGTACTACATGCTATAACCCAAGAAAGATCATGGATTTTGAAAAGATCCAGAGAAAGGCAACTGAAATGGCCAGGGAAATAGAGAAGGCTTCTGAATCTGGAGCATCTAGAAAGATTTGGAAGGAGAGGCTAGAAGGACAAGCCTGCAGTTGGGCGAGGACAGGATCAAAATTTCTAAAATATCAAGGAGGATGGCTATGGGGAACGTGGGTATTTTTCCCTACAGGTGTAGTTAGGAGTGAAGGGAAAACTGCCAGGGCATACCCAGGTTTGCTGTCGGTGCTAGGGTGAGCAGGTGCCCCAGATGGGGCAAGGCACCTAAAGCTCAGCCTATGGGAGGCAGAGAATTTACCTAAAACATTGGACCATCTTGTTCTGGTTCTCTTTTCCAAGTTATTTAGCACAGGGCTGACAGGGAGCAGTGGAATTGCATCTATGCACTGGATACCCAGTTTGCCTTTCTGAATGCATCTCGACTATGCAAAATCTTTTAAACCTTCACCATTTTGGTTGAGCGTGTTGGCTCACACCTGTAATCCTCACACCTGTAATGCTAGTGCTTTGGGAGGCTGAGGCAGGAGGATCGCTTGAGGCTGGAAATTTGAGACCAGCCTGGGCTACATCTCAAGACCTCATTTCTACAAAAACTCTAAAAATTAGCCAGGCATGGTAGTGCATGTCTGCAGTCCCAGCTACTAGGGAGTCCAAGGGGGAAGGATCCATTGGGACCAGCCTGGGCAACATAGTGAGACCGAGTCTCTATAAAAACAAAACAAAACAAAAAAATCCTCTAGTCTCTTTCTGTTTCAGATTGCCCTACACGATACTAACATATTAATCCTCCTAAAACAACACTTCATCCAATGACTCAGCTTACAATTTTAAATAAATAGTGCCTTGGGAAACTGTATTGGATAGAGCCTGAAGCAAAAGGAAAATCAGTAATAATGATCAGTAATAATGATGCAATGTCTTCATGTGAAAATTCAATATTTTGTTCATCATGAATTGTTTTGCATTAATTTTGATTTTAAAAAAATATTGCATTAAAATATTATTTATCTTGATTCCTGAGTTTATTGGCCCTCCCTTATGATTTGCACCCAAGGCAAGAGCCTCACTCAGTTCACTTGCCTCCTTCTAGGCCTGGCCCCAGGAGGCACTTCCTGGGATGTGATGAATGTTGGTGTTGGAGTCAGGCAGAGCAGGTTTGAATAATAGTTCTGCCTGCCACTTATTCTCGGTTACTTTAAGAAAGTTGCTTAATCTCCTCGTGTTTTACTCCCTTCTCTTGTTCCATAAGAATAATGGGCCACCTTGCAGGGTTATCATGAAGAATAAATTATGTGACATATTGGATATTGCCCAGTATTCAAGTATAATACTTGGCATATAATAAGTACCCTATAGATATTACCTTTCCTTCTCTTAGAGGGAGATTTAAAAATCAATTAATTGAACAGTAAATGAATAATTTTTGATGCTGTGCCAAATGCCCTGGACTATGCTTGGTACTGAGAAATGGAGGTAGGGGTACCCTAATATAGTACCAGCCTTCAACAAGCTTGCATTTAGGATTGCAACATGAAACCATTAGAAAACAACAATAACAAAAAATAAAAATTAAGTTCTACATGTAAGAGATTAGGAAGATG